TCTCCAAAATCAACAACAAAATAATGCATAATATGGGTTAATTTAAAGGCGCTGTATGTAAGAATGTGGCCAGAACGGTTACTGCACTCAAATTCAAAATACTGCTGCGAGTCGTGTCCGCCAGCCTCTAAAACAGACTTTAGACAAATAAAAAAGGCCCACTTTAAAGAATTTAAGTGAATGATATACTAAACATTTGTTTGCTGTGTTACGTTGCTGCCAGACAGGAACCTGAATTTAAAAACATGAATCACTTTGTCCCTGCCACCAGAGTCCATTTATTTTGTGACTTCGGTGTTTAACAGCAATAAAACAATGACTCACGTGGTAGTAAGCTAAAACTGCTCCTTTTCTCAACGTACTCTGGTAGCTGGGACTAATCAATTCAACTGGTGCTTTAAAAAAATGCTTTCTGGTGTCAAGGTAACGAGCTAAACATATTCTTATTATAACGTACACTTCAACAAAAACTGATTCTTGTAAGATGGCCTTTGTTTATGTGGCTAAAATGCATTTTAGCGACCGACCTAATATATAGCTGTATATAGCCTAGCATTTCTGGTCCACCTCCCCTTGGCTTCTCCAAAATGGGAACATGCCGACAGCGGCCTACTGTATGGAATACACGTCCTATGCACAAGTACATCACACAACCCCACTGTAAATAACTACTTAATTACCCTTTAAGTCACCATGCATGTATCGGAAACAAACCCAGAACAGGAAGACTTTACAATCATGTAGAGTAAGTAAACAGCAAACAACAACAGTCCAAAAGGCAATTCCCAAGTAAGGAGAGCATCTTGCTAAAACTACATACGCAGATAATTTTTCAGTCTCTGAACCTTGTTTGAAAGGTTTTCAGGATCAAGCTCCAGCAGTACTTTTTGGAATACCTCAAAACTGAATTTGAGATTCTTGGGGTATCTCAGATCCAAGACATAGGTCAGTCCCAACAGATAGCAGCAGGCTCTGCTAAGATCTCCAAGGCTGCTGAGGACAGTGATGCCCTCAGTCACAATCCCTACATCAGTAGGTTCCTCGGCTGACCCATCTTGGTTGCGGCTCACGTAAATCTTCATCACCTCCTTTGCCAGTTCCAACTCTAAGGTGGTATCTATGTCCACATGTCCATATAATTCCAACATTGGAAAGTCGATATCATTCTCATTACGAACGGGATGTTTTTCAATCACATCAGCCTTAAAATCTTTCCATGAATAGGACTTGTGTTTCCTACTTCTGTGTGTCGCATAAGTCCCATATATGTTTGTCTTGAAATCACATCCATCAAAAGCACATTCTATTGTTTCAAGTCTTTTCAAGTGGGAATTAATATGTTGACAATAGTCTTTGGTATTAGGATAAAATGAGTCACAAATTTTACATCTGAAAGATTGCACCACTTCACACTGTTCAGTTTCTTGCAAACTGTGGGATCTAAACAAGTGTACGTGCAAGCTAACCCAGGTCTTAAAGGAGCAAGGACAGTTTAAATGAAGACAGGGTACTGAATATCCATGACTAAAGGTACCATGTTCCACTCGATAATGCTTCAGAAGTTCTCCTTTTGACGAATCCACAAATGTGCAGAGTTTACATTGCCATCCCATAAGCTGCCACCTAAAAAAGGATGATAAATAGTGTTACCATGGGGAACTAACAGACTAGTGGAAAGGGACAGCTCAGATATATCAGACATATTAAATTAGTAAAAGTTTGTATTACGTCCAAGACTTTTGTAACTGCTCCCCTGTCCAATGCAATCAAACATGGCCAAAATCCAGGTGCTACTCATGTCATTCACTGCTTTCCTGAAATTGTATTAAACCAAATAAATATCTTAGAATCCTTTTTTTAGTGTTTACACATTTTATCCTCCTGGAACAATTAAAGTATGACATTTACCTTCTCTGTTTCATTTTCTTTGTTCACCTCCTCTCCATTAGCGGTCATGGTGCTGTGAAACAGATATTGAAAATATTTAACATTTTTGAGAAAAAAAAAATCAACTTTACTTGCTCTAGCCATTATCAAGTGTTCCCCCCAAAATATAACAAAACATAAGGACTGTCCAACTTATCCAAATTATGAAATAGAAAATGCCTTAATAGAACAAGCAGATTAATAATTTAAAAGTTCTGTGAATTTGAAATTCTGAAACCCCAAAATATAACACTGGATAAATTAGGCATATAGTGAAGGGATTTGAACCATGATTTTCTCATCCCTCCAAACTAAAAGGTGGGTATTATTAGGATTTTATTCTCATCCAAACTCTTATTGCCTTTGTTCTTCAGCATAACTCTTATTTCTTAATTAGATTTTTTTTTTCTTTAAGTTTTTATTATTTAAATTTAGAGCAGGACTGGAGCAGATTTATATTTTAAATATACCGGTAACCAAATATCATCTCTTGCGCAGCAACAGCAAAGTTTTTAACAACAAAATCACAATAAAAACTCAATATCTGAGTCAGTAAAATTGATAATATTTCTGATATCAAAATACTGCGTGAGGTTTAGAAAGAGTGCAGAAAACAGTCATCCTCCTGCCCTCCCTCTGCTGCAGGTGCTGCAGGTACAGAGGGAGGTTGTTCAACAGTAGCTAAATTTGCATTAATTTACCAAACTATATGAATCAGTACAAACTAAGATAGGCAGTTAGGCTAACGTTACGAACACAAACACTGACAGTTCGCTAAGTGACCCAACATGCGAGCTGTGGCTGAAACAATAAGAAATGCGGTCAAAACCAAGTGGAAACGTGGCTTCAGCCTGACTGCTCTGCGGTAGTCAAACACACCGAGGAGGAGACAGAGAAGCGCGGCCATTAACGACAGCAAAACAAGACAGAGAAAAACACACTTACTGCAACCGTTTAACACAACACATTAGTCGAATGAAAAGAAGAACATGTATAAGCTGAGACAGACTTCTCTATCAGGTGTAGCAGACCCTAGCTATCTTCTCTGTCGCCGCTGTCTGTTACGTGTTTGAATGGTAAACCCTGCAACGTTACGACAGCATGGCTGCGACAGTATTCAAAATGTTACAGCTTATAAAGTTGCGTATAAATGCAGACAGATTCAGTGTTTGACTGCTGGTTAATTTTAATTTTTGAAAGCTGGCTACTTACCAGGATGAAAAAAAATGACTCGTTCCGTCAATGGCCGCCGCAGTCCTCTTGCTTGTTACCAGACATTGAGCAGACGGAGAAGCAGCTTTCCCATGAGCACGTTCGCTTTGCGCGACTGTTAATGGCGTCCACATCATAACGTTAGGCGCGTAACTTACTCAATTTCTTAAATTGTTGTTAGAGATGAAGAATACTGATTTGGAATGAGTAATAATTGTAGTTCTTGAAACTGATCAGTACAATTACTCCATCGGCAAATATTTTGATTAAAGTATATAAAAAATATTAAGGATATCTGATAAATGTAATTTGTTAGTCAAATACTAATTTCTTTCTGTGAAATAAACTTAGACAATACATTTACATTTAAGAAAAAAGTGACTGTTGGATTTTTAGGCATTTATTTTGGTATGTCCAACTCAAACAACCACTTAAGTGATATTTAGAGATTTTATTAAGATATTATAGCTTTTAATTATTGTGATATTTACTAAGCAGCTGAATTATTTTTTAGAGTGTATAGAGATATTTCAAATAAAATGTGGCTTCATGTGCAATTTATTGGCAGACAGTTTGATGTTTTCTTTCTACATTTTTATGAAAGACTATGAAAATAGTCTCATAAAATTTGAAAGATGTGCATAAATTTGTTATGTCATAGTCACTTGCTTAGTATGACCAGAGATATTGGATAAAGCGAGATACCCCACTCAGCTCACTTCCTGATTCAGTGACGTCAGCTCCACGCCCCCGTAGGAGACTTGTGGCAGCTCTGAATTTATTATCGTCAATGAGGAAAATGAACGTGATCACAATTTATGGTCAATTCTTTCGCCCTATAGTCACTAAAGTAAATATTGGGTTCGTTTTCCACAAGCCACACATCTTACCAACATTCTGACATTAAAGCTGCATTTTTCATCCGCACAGATCAAGAGAAAATTAACTTTGTTTGAGCCCTGTCCGTCTCAGAAAACAAGTTCTCGCGAGATCTTGTGATCTTGATAAACAGGCGGTAAAATCACAGTTAGCTTACAAACAGTTATTTACCGCTAGTAATAAATAAAAAATGCCCAAGCTTTGTGCAGCAATAGGCTGCAGTAATAGGAAGAATGTATTTTCATTCCACCTGCTTCTCAATCCGCATACACAGACATACACAGAGCCTCTGGGTTGAGGGAGAACAGGCTCTGATTGGAGGGAGAGCTAACCACGCCCACATAGGAGACAGGAAGAGTAACAGTTTTCTTAACATTGGATAAGCCTACGATGGGGTATCTCCTTTATCCAATATCTCTGGTATGACACTGTAGTGAACAGTTGAAAATTATTGGAAAAAGAAATACATGCCAGGGCTGCATTTGCTGCCATGTTGGCAATGACAACAAATGACTAAATCAAACAGTCAGTAAAACAGGCTTTTCAACAACTGTGAATCACCACAACCAAGAGGGGTCCTTGAGCATACAGTCATAAATGCTACACAAAGTATGAGGTTTATTGGTCCAGTAGTTTGCGAGATTAGCTGTCGACGGATACACACACACACACACATATGCACACATGACCAAGCGCATGATCCAATCCAGGCTTTTTGCCTGGTGCAGATGAAAATAGACATCAAGCTTGTGGTGATGGGATAGTAGAAATTCTATTTATAGAAATGTAAAAAACTATGTAACTTTCATGTGGAGTTGTAATTTGAAAAGAGAATGACAGTAGTTGTGTCAGAAACTGTTTAAATTATCATTCATCATAAGTGTCTGTATCCTGATCTGAACTCCTGAAGTTTTATCAATAGTTATTTGAGGACCGCATAAATAATTCAGCTCCTGGCTATGCATGTGTTTTTCTGTTTTCAGGACAAGCCCTCCCTACTGTTGCGCTGACCTGTATTCTCTGAGGACAGGGGAAATGGTCAAATCAATTCAGTTTAAGACGGCCATCTATGATCTTCACTGCAACAAACAGTATGTCTGATCTTAAAAAAACCCACAAAAAACTCAGGACTCATATTTTATGCCACACCAGATGTTTACTTTCTGTTAATGGACTGTGTTCTCCCACCTCCAGCATTCTTGTTGTGAGCCTACAAGAGAAGATTGCAGCATTTGACAGCTGCACCTTCACTAAGAAGTTCTTTGTTACAAGTAAGAAACCTTTTTTTTTTAAAGACTTACAGAGTTGTTTTTCTGTCATACTATACAGAAATGTTCTCTATAAACCACAGTTCAGGAGCAGTCAAATTACAAAGTCACATTATAATTAATGTTCCAGTATAATACCTGTTTTAAGGAGCTTTTTCGTGTTCATGAACCTGTTTTCATTGGCATTTTGATCTTTTAGGGGTATTTAGGGGTATACCATTTAGTTCCTGGCAGGAAAATGAAGAATGTTTTTTTTAAAGGGGAACTAACGTTTTTTTTTCAACCTGGGCCCTATTTTCCAATTTACATTTGTCTAAATGAGTGATAAGATGTTCAATATTTGGCATTTCTCCAGTACGAAGCTAGGGCTGACCTGCCTGCAGCCCGTGAGTGCACGCTATATTAAATAATAAGGCACCGGGACAGTGTCAAACAATGTCAAAATACATCCGCTAAAAGTGCATTTTTTTTTTCACACAGATAGGCTTGGATTGTTGGTATAATTATCCGACAACATAACGGAAAGGAGAAATGAACGTCTGTCTTTACCTTTAGCTGGATTTGGACATGTTCCTCTGCCTGTTGCTGCTCCCTCTCTCTCCTCGTCCGCTCTTCAGTTTCAATGAGTTCTGTGTCCGTGTACGTCCATGTACTCTGTGTTCAAATAAATACGGGCGGTCATCAAATCCAAATGGCTCATCCAGATCCGGTTGGTCAAAATCGGGTAAAAATTCGGACATGTTTGTTGTGGCAAGTCAAAACACTTAAGCCTGATTTATGGTCCTGTGGCATACCTACGACGTACCTACGTCGTTGCCGTGACGCCGTTGTGAACCCTTCGAGCTTCTCTGTCACTCCATTTCGTTGCGGTGCAATTCACCGCCAGAGCGGTAGGGGGCTGCGTTCCTTTCCTGAATGGTTATCGTTGTCTCTAGTTGATTCTTTGTTTAGCTTCCGGCTATTCCGGTCACAGTGAACAATGGCGACTGAGAGAGAGAGAATCTTGCTGGAGTTGGAGTTGTTGGATGTCGAAGAAAGTATGTTAATACTGCAACATCTACATCGCAACAGAAGATGTTTAAAGATGGCGGGGATGGCGCAATCTGGAAATACGGAACCGGAAATGCATTGCTACCAAGCAAACCAATCACAGCCCTCTCAGTCTGCGCTGGGTCTGTGTCGCCTCGATGTGTAGTTACATTTTTTTGGGAGGTGCACGTCAGGCTACGCCGGAGGGTACGACGAGCCTCCTGCGTAGCCACGTACCCTACGATGTAGGTACGTCGTTGATTCAATGCAGGACCATAAATCAGGCTTTAGAGAGTGAAAGTCTGGCTCTGAAATCTCACATCTCGCAAGATTCTTCTTCTTCTTCTTCTTTGGTGTTTTACTATACAGTCTGTGGTGTTTTACGGCAGCTGGTCTCACAAGACATGAGTTGTTGCAGGACGTTACCGCTGAAGCAAGCTTACAAATGCGACTGTTTGGAGTAGTCATGGCTGAATTTTTACCTGATTTTGACCAACTGGATCTGGATGAGCCATTTGAATTTGCTGACCGCCTGTATTTATTTGAAGGGACGAGGAGAAAGAGAGGGAGCAGGCAGAGGAAGTGTTTTGACTTGCCACAACAAATATTTCCGATTCCAGCTAAAGGTAAAGACAGACGTTCATTTCTCCTTTCCGCTATGTTGTTGGAAAAATATACTAACAATCCGAGCTTATCCGTGTTAAAAAAAATGCACTTTTAGTGGACATATTTTGACGTTGTTTGACGCTGTCTGAGTGCCCTATTATTTAATATAGCGCGCACTCACGGGCTGTAGGCAGGTCCGCCCGAGCTTCGTACTGGAGAAAAGTCACATATTGAACATCTATCACTCATTTAGACAAAAGTAGATCAGAAAATAGGGCCCAGGTTGAAAAAAAAATGTTCCTCTTTAAGGTGTAGAATTGTTATTCAGATCACAAAGCAGTTAAATTTAATGTAGGTTGTCTTCATATGTAAATAATATTTTATTGCCAATGGAAAGGTATGTTTATCAAATGCTGGGCCAAACCCCAGAGGTCTGTACTGTATGCAGCAGCACAAATATGTAAGATGTTTTTTTCCCAACCCATCAACACTAACAATGCCCAACATGATCAGTGACTCTGTCATGCTGGGATCATTAAGTCAAAGAAACACAAAGCCGGTCATTGGCAATCATGCCACCACCCTTCAAGGCCTACTGTGCTGTATTCTCTGAATCTTTGCATTGTGACTAAACTGTTTTAATGGAAACATGATATGAGGCCCTCCATTTGAAGCTCAACACAGGGAAACTGCTTAGAACACAGCTCTTGCATCCTCCTGGCTGTACCTGCCGTATCTGCTCAAGGAGGCTATGAAAGAAAGGCCAGACTGTATTACAAGGCCATTGCTGTCCACTTAAGTCGTTGACTGGAGTAAACTGACCTTACTGGCTAGCTTTAATGTGTCTCCTCTTTGTCTGCCTGCCTTCCCTATCAGTGTCTGAGCATCAGGAAACCAAACATGCTCAATAGTTATTAATCATCTCTGAATGCAGGGGCCTTCTCTTCAAAATGCAGTTTGGTCTGTTTAGGCTGTAAAAGCAGTAAACAAAGGCTCCTGTGATGTGTAGCTCCATTTTGGACGGGCCTTTCTACTGTTGTATGTCTGGTTCTTCTCCAGGGAGGTGATGGTGGACATGTCACGTCTTTGTGAGCACTTACTGTTTGTCTTGTGTTTATGGTCTTGCTTTGCATTCAAGTGTTGTGTGCTGTGAGCTGGGACTTTCTTTCACGTTGGTTCAACTTGATGCCAAAGCCTTCTCTAGCTTTTCTGAGTGGATTAACTCACAATGAGCACGTTGTGTTACCTACTGTGTTTATGTAGAGTATAGGCGTGTCTTTGTGCATGCATTTGGTTGTATATTAGTCCCATGTAAATTAATAATTTCTTCCTGTGCTTATTTTTCTGAAGCAGACTAAGTATTGGTTGAATTGTACTGTGACTGTTCTGCCTTTCAGGTTCAAACAAACAAACAAACTGTTCATACCAATATTATACTCGCAAATTTCCTGTCTCACAAAATGTGACTGTCTAAGTCACAGGATTTTTGAGCTATACTTTTTTACCAATTAATAAATAGAGACGTGTGATCATAGATTATAAAAAGGTGTATGAGAGCAAGGCTGCTGTTTATAGTATAATTATGCAGTATGCTACAGCAAATGATGGCACAATACTCACAGTGCAGAACTGTTTGTATTGTTTGACTGTGCACAACACCCCTTCTTGAATTCACTACACTGGCTTCAGTTGAACTGAATGGGATACTGAGCTAATATGGGCAGAGGCTGATTCTAGTGTGACCAGCCCTTTGCCCCACTGCTGGGATGTGAACGCTGGTGTGGCTCCGCTGTTTGGAGAATGACAACAAATTGCAAGGTCTGCTGGGCTGGGCTGGACTCACCACTGACATCTACTGCAACAACAGCAACAGTGCTAACAGAGCTGACATTGTCTACAAAAGGGGAATCGACCCCACAGTATCAGAATATCCACAGTGCAGAGGGGCAGGGACGAGCTAGTCAGTGGGATACACATATGCACTAAAGGCCCTGACACACCAAGCTGACAGTTGGCCATCAGTCAAAGTTGGGCCATTGGTGAGTGTCTGTCGCTCTCATCAGTGCAGCGTGTCTTGCAGTGTTGGCCCTTGTCAGTGCTAGTTGGCTTTTTTTTTTTGCTGATTCAGCATGTTGAATCAAAGCGGTGACAGTGAGTTGTTAATGTGCTAACTGGCTAAATAGCATCAAGGCGGTCTTCCTGTTTCCCTTTTTGAGTGATGATATAGACTACCGCTGTCTGCTGGTATGGAGGGGTATGTCTTCTCATGCAGGCGCTGAACATACATGCTTGTTAGCCGTCAGTTCAGTGTGTTCATGTGCAGTGTTTTGGCCGAGGTGCTGCAGTGTGAGGCGATGCAGCAGAGGGCTCTTGTCACAGCTAGTTCTCTGATGTCACAACTGTACAATGAAATAAGTAGGGCTGACCCCAAAAAATTCGAAGCTTCGAAGCTTCGTTCGATGGCACAGGATTCGATTGTGAAAAAAAGAAATTCGAAGCTTCTGCGCTTTTTTTTTTCCGTTGTTTTTGGGGGAGGCCTTAAACACAACACTAACCCCCACCAGTCCGATACTTACAACTAGTGCACTCTGAGCTGGCAGACATGTCCAAGAGGTCATCAGATGTGTGGTTGCTCTTTAAAATATGCCCCGACAACCCCCAGAAAGCAGATTGCCAGATTTGCCAAAAGCAATTGGCATATCACAACTCAACAACAAATTTGGGAAATCACTTGAAAAACGTAAGTAGTAACTAGTAGGCCTAATATGCATTTTCCAGTTCCACCAGTCCGCTCTGAGTCTGGTGTCAGAGACACTTCTGGTGGTCTGAGTTGCACATCTGTTTGATTGTGCTGCAGTGTGCGCCGAGGGTTTTAATTTAGTGTTCAATCAAAAGTTAAATACTACTTATCACTGACCATTAGTGTTTTTTCGTTTGTGAATATTTTTATCTTAGTGTTGGAAGAAACTACATTTTTCGCCATTATTTTTTTTATTTATTTATTTTTTTTAAATCAGAGACATCTAATTTTTTCAGCTAAATCAATTTCTGATTTTTTTTAAATCTCAATCGTAAAAGTGGACTAACAATGTCTTGAGCTAAAAGCATGTTTTGTAATGTACAGATGATGCAACAATTTTCGCAGGATGCTCAATAAACTGAGCTATTTGCAAGGCTGTTTTGAGGCATATAGTAGATCAGTTTGTACAACATGCACAGTTTTGACTCTGTCAGGTTGTCTTGCTCTGTCTGGCCTGTCTGCAGTGACATCAATTCAGTCAATCAATTTTATTTATGAAGCCCAATATCACAAATCACAATTTGCCTCACAGGGCTTTATAGCATACGACATCCCTCTGTCCTTTGGATTCTTGCAGCGGATAAGGAAAAACTCCCCCCAAAAAAAACCTTTAACGGGGGAAAAAATGGTAGAAACCTCAGGAAGAGCAACTGAGGAGCGATCCCTTTTCCAGGACGGACAGACGTGCAATAGATGTCATATAGAACAGATCAACATAATAAATTAACAGTAATCCGTATGACAGAATAAGACAGAAAGAGAGACAGAGACAGACAGAGATGCAGGACAGACAGTAATGACAGTAGCTTACAACAACATTAATGAAAGTAATAATATTACAATAATAATTATGGCTATTGTGGTACAATACGTTCAAAGTATATATTAATATTGATAGTATACGTATGTGCCAATAATCATGTGTATAATAACAGTAGAAAATTTGACTAATGATAACAGCAGTAGCAGGAGGCATCAGGCAGGACCAGGGCAGCAGCACAACCACACACATCACACTATCCAGGCACCGCTGCGATATAAGTTAACCTATGGACATATGGTCTGGTGACACACATTGTTGGCATGCTGGAGTGCCAGGCCTGTACAGTTGTGTGGGAAACACAATGGATATTGTAGGGCCTTGATGCACAGATTGCTGTATGACAATATAGCAGTTACTATTATTATTATTATTATTATTATTATTATCATTATTATTTTTGTTATTATTAGATTACTTTTTAGGCATTTCTGCCTTATTGACAGTGACAGAGATAGACAGGAAAGACAGGGGCGAGAAAGGGGATGACATGCAGCAAAGGGCCATGGTGAACTCAGGCTCAGGCCACTGCGATACAAGCTCAGCCTCAACTCTACTTGATGAGCTACTGGGGCACCTGGGAGTTACATATTTTGGTAGAGGTAGCTGTTCTTGTTGTTAAATGGTAGGAGCAGCAGCATCGGTAACAGTAGAAGTTTTACTTTGTAAAATTTTGGTACATTTGAAAAACGGAAAGTTAGAATATGGAATATTAGACGATGATCAGCTATTGCCACACTCACAGAGGTCTTTCAGGGTTCAGCCTCAGAAGCCTGCTTTCTTTTCATTTGATTGCACCCATCATGTCTGTTTCCTCTCTCCACTGAGCCCCCTGCTCTACACCCAGGATGTCAAACATGTTATCTCACCGCCCGGGCTCCCCTCGGCCTTGGAGAGACACAAAAGGCTTCTCTGCCATTACCAGCAGCCCTTGTGGCCTACCTCAACCCACTTTCTCCCCACCAACCCCTTCCCCAGCATGACACACTAAATTACTGTCTCCACCTCATCTGCTCCCTGAGCACTAAATTGTTGTCAGCAAGCCATTTTCCCCACACCTCCATGCACTTACACTAGCTCAGTGTATGTGTGTGTGTGTGTGTGTGTGTGAGATGAGGGCTTCTGTTCTCAAACACAGCATAGCACAGCACAACGATATCAATCATGTCTCCAGTCTGTTTACAAGCATTTTTACCTGTTTTTGCTTGATTCTGTCTCGCAGCAGAAGTGATAGCTGCCCAAAGCCCAGTTTTTTGTGTTAGTCACAGTAATCCACATGTTTACACAGAAACAAATGCATATATTGTTAAAGACATTTATGTGTTTGGGAAGGCACAGCTTTGTTTGTCATTGAGGATTAGTGGTTGCTGTCTTTATTTTTGCTGACATCATGTAGAGCTTTATTCCTATCTTTATCAAAGAGCATGATCTTTCAATTTGAGAGCAAGGTTTATTGGTTTCGTGTTCAGATTTTGTAAGGCTTTTCCTCAAAACCTTGCCCTTGCATTTAAATAGCCCCTGCTTGCACTAAGATTTGCTCTGTATGCTGTATGCTTGCTCTCGGATGTGTTGGTGCTACGGATTTCCTGCACTCCAGCTTCCGCCCTTCTCCTCACACTCAAGCTGCCTCTGTGCACTCTTGAATCACCTGCTTTCAGATCTCATCTCTGCTCTGCTCTCTGATTTTTTGTGCTACAACCCTGTCAAAATTCCCCAATGAATACCATGTAGTGTTGACCAATTAAAAAGCGATCCCTGCCTAGCTGTGGGTGCATTTGCTTTCTTTCTTAGAGTGTCCCATACAGGTGGTTATTCTTTAACTGCGTTCATCACCCTCAAGGGATATATTAAATGTACTTCCCTTGCTTTATTTATGATTTTTGAAATAGAAAGACTGTTGATATACTGTATATTAACTCATTATTTAACTGTACTCACCAGCACCTGTACGTTTTACTCTAAGAGCTACATACAGTATGATAGCAGTCACAAAGCACACTGGCCTCATGTCTGTGTGCTGGAGGAGAAATCGACATCACCTTGGATGACTCAGCAGACTCTTACTAGGAGATCACTTGCAAACATGGACCGCCAAAGTCAAGGACCTCAAGGAAGTTTATGGTGCTATTCCTTCCTTTAAATTGAATGGATAAAGTCATATTTGTGGCACATAATACATCCATTGATAATATGCCTGGTAGAAACAGATCAAATCCAAGTATGGCTATTTCATTTCAAGTGAAAAAATTACAAAATCTGAACGTGAAATCAGTTAATCATGCTCTCACATTGAAAACCATGCTCTTTAATAACGATAGGAATGAAGCTCCATAACAGCACACTTGTTTATTTGTCTGTGTGTGTGTTCCTACAGGGATTATTGTGTTAGTCAGTCAGCAATGGAGCCATTCTCAATTTATTGGGTACCACAGTCTCCATTAGGTCATACTGTTCACACACACTAGCATACAAACATGTCAGCCTCATAAGACTCCTATTTATCTTCCCAAACAAGAGACAAACACAGGCACACAGTAATGGTTTAAGATAGTTACAGACACCCTACATGGAGAGGGCTTATGGAAATCCCTGGTTTTGCTTAAAAACTTTTGATATGTGGTTATTTATCAAAATGTTTATTTCTGTTGTAATTATCATTGGTGGCTCTGTTAGCATGACCATCTATGTACTTTCAGGCTGCTATCCCTGCCCTGGCCCCAGCCTAAATCCAATAGCTCTGGGAAGCCGCTGGCTAGCCTACGCTGAGAACAAGGTACGCAACTCTCTCTCTCTCACACACACACACACACACACACACACAAACACACACTACTCATCATCGTCATCTACTACAGAAGTGCCTTATCAGAAAAGCAACATATTCACAATCCCAAAAATGCATTTGATCTGCGTCTTTAATCTGTCTGGATAAACAACTCATTCCGAGAAGGGTCCAGAATTTTAAAACCAAAAGAAACATATGAGTTTTCTGTTCCCTTCTGTGTAATGGGATTGTTAAGTACTTAAAAAAACCCAAAATGTCCTATTGCGGACTCTGCAATACATTTAATGCATCATAGTGTTTTAGTGCTGGACCACTTAAGTAATTGACAGATGGGGCCACTGTTTGTGTGACTGCCTAAGGATTTCCAGAAATGACAAAATCTATTTTTTTGAAGAGTAATACTGGGACAGAGCCATTAAAGTGATATTGTATTTGAAATTAAATCAGTGCAGATTGGCTGCTGGGTTGTCTAATGTTTCTTTCAAAGCAAAACCAATTTCCTTCAAAGAGCGAAGAGGGGAGGCTGTAGGATGTCTGAAATCTGAGTTGATTTCCCCAATGTTTTTCTCTTCATACATTTCCTGCAGACTCACACTGTACATCTTGTATTTATCTGTAAATCTTTATGCTCATGCAGTTGATCAGATGTCACCAATCTCGCGGGGGAGCTTGTGGTGACAATGCACAGTCCTATACAGCTACAGTGATCAATGCTGCCAAAGTAAGTGAGAATACATGGACACATTTACCTGTTTTTCATGAACTGCTACATCACTGCATAACCTGTGTAAATTACACTTCATTCATTTTACCACAGCTGAGCACTCATCTACCACAGTGCTATATTTAATACTGTATTTCATTTTATATATTATATTTTATTCTTTTAGTTTAACTTCTGCATGGTTTTGTGTTGATGTCTTAGATACTCATTTTTACTTGTGTGATTTTCTTTTTATACATACTGTATGAACATTGTTAGCAGACGAATTTTGGTTGCTAAAAACTGCTTTATTAGAAATGCTGTGCTGATGACAAATAAAACCCTTCAACTGCTACATGTTCCTAACGCTTGTTCTTATAAAAGTTGGTATTTTTACTGGATATCAAAGCAAATAGAAATTTGGAAAAAATATGCTGAGATTGAATGCAGCACACCTCTTAATATGACACAAAGTTTTAATACTGCAGTTTTCAGCTAAAAGAACCTACACTGCTTTATATTGATTATCATCTTCATTGAAGTGTATCCCCAATCATAGCTCCCTACAGAAGTACCGACTAAACTTGTTTCATTTTATCTTTGAATGTTTGAAAAACACACATGCACAAACAGGACCGATACATGCACAAAGTGGAGAGATGTCAGAGTGAGGGGGCTGCCTTGGTCAGGCGCCCCAAGCTGTTCAGGAGTTCGGTGCCTTGCTCAAGGGTACCTCAGCAGTGCCCAGGAGGTGAACTGGCACCTCTCCTGCCACCAGTTCACACTCCATAATTTTGGTCCGGACGGGGACTCGAAACAGGCGACCCTCCGGTTCCCATCCCAAGTCCCTAAGGACTGAGCTACTGCCGCCCCCTTTGCTCTGTCTTAAGCCTTTATTCAGATAGAACAGCACATAATACAGTATATCCAGCTCTGCCCACACCATCTGTAAATGTGCTGACATTGGATCCACCTGGCCCGCCTGGCTGACTGGGGCTGAGCTTATGAGACACTTCATCAACCTGCCTATCTGTTTTTCCCACTGTAATCTGTTTCTCTCCAATGGACTTACTTCACTCATCTCCACAGGGTAGTGACACTAATGCCTCATTTCCACTGCTTGGCTTGACTCTGTTTGCTTGGAACTGTTCTTTAATGGTTTCCCATTGGCAATAGTACCTGGCACTTCTTTTGGTATCACTTCGGTTGAGGTTCCAAGTGATAATAAATGGTGGTGTTCAAACACTGCAAAACACTGATAGATCAGAGAGAACAGTCACTGAAGTCATCACTTGTGCAACACAGGACATCCTCTACAGACCTGTAGGTCTTTAAGAGAAAAGCTTGCATCAGTGGCGACTGCAATTTTTTTATTCAGTCTGCCTAGATTAAACAAAGTGGCAGCCTGCAAAACCACACCATGGTCAGTTGATGAAGTACAGACATTCCTCTGTTTGGTTGCTGATGAAAGGATTCAGCAAGAGAACACACTGTTTGTGGTGCGTTAAAGTTGCCTGATATCAGACACAATAATAACAGGATACACGTCTCCATCTTCAGTCTGAAATTGTGTCCACTTTAACTGATTTTGGTGGAGGAGGGGAATTCGATTCAATCCCCAACCAATCACTAGAGACCAAGGTAGCCGCCTGAATCTAACGTCATTTTAAGTCCACACTGATGCATAGCCATAACATACCTGTTTTGTCAGGGTTTTAAATGTAGTAAAACAAACTTCGATGTTGGGTGATACTGAGAAGCCTCAATAACAGCAGCTTTCTTGTCTGTAGCACTCACCATTGTTGTTATTACTCCTCATGTTTCCCGCACACCGCTTAACAACGCTAAATAACAGCTTGTCAATGGCGTTAGTCCTACCCGTGGAGATGACTGGCTAATCGTTCGTTTTCTCATTGTTCGTTTTTTATTTCAACTGAGAAACCGCTATTTCAGGTCACAATGTCAGACTGATGAGTCAACTTCGTAAAGTGCAGGTATTCCAAGGTGTGGATACCAATAATGATCAGGTTAAAATCCCAATTACATTGAGGGGGTACTGTCTGCAGTGGAAAATTAAATTGAGAAAAGTACTTGGTACCAAAAGTGAGTCGAGCTGTACCATGTCTTCAGACATGGTACCTAGCGTTTCCACCACAAACGTTACCCTTAAATGTGGGCGGGGTTGTTGTCACTCACTGATCCGTACTGCACTCACTATATTTCATCATTAACGGTGACACAGATGGAAGCCTGCACCTCGAGAGAATGAGGCTGCACGCCAAAATTTTCAAAAACAAGATAAAACAGGCTGCAGTGAGGGTCTCTCCATCCATCCATCCATCCATCCATCCATCTATCCATCCATCCATCCATCCATCCATTTTCATCCGCTTATCCGGGGCCGGGTCGCGGGGGCAGCAGGCCAAGCAAAGCACCCCAGATATCCCTCTCCCCAGCAACACTTTCCAGCTCCTCCTGGGGGACCCCAAGGTGTTCCCAGGCCATACGAGATATGTAATCCCTCCAGTGTGTTCTGGGTCTGCCCCGGGGCCTCCTACTAGTGGGACGTGCTCCAGAACACCTTCAGCGGGAGGCGCCCAGGAGGCATCCTGATCAGATGTCCGAGCCACCTCAACTGACCCCTTTCGACGTGAAGGAGCAGCGGCTCTACTCTGAGCTCCCTCCGGATGTCCGAGCTCCTCACCCTATCTCTTAAGGCTGAGCCCAGCCACCCCACGGAGAAAACTCATTTCTACCGCTTGTATCTGCGATCTCATTCTTTCTGAGTAAACTTTACCCGGGAGGCTGAGCAGTGTGATACCCCGATAGTTGGAGCACACCCTCAGGTGGTCCCCATCTTCATAAGATGGTCCCTCTCCATGGGATATTCCAAAATAGGGAGTTTGTACATTTAGTCCTTTTCAGGCAAGCTTGGGGGTTAAGTGCTCTGTAGCCTGCAGGAATGGCGCTCCAAGATGCTGTTTTTTTTTCTCAGAGTGAGGATAAGAATATATGCAGTTCACATAACGTGGTTGAAAGTAATACATATAAAGAAGATCCACTCATTACTAAAAGTGTATGTCATATACAGAGTTGGGTAAGGGTTACTTTAAAAGTAATCAAAGTACTTTACTGCGTTACTTTTTTTAAAGTAACCAGTTACTTTACTGTGTTACTCCCTGAGTAAAGTAACTCAAGTACTTCCAATGCTACTCCCTGAGAAAAATAACCCAAGCACTTTTAAAGTACTTTTGAGTATTCTACATTTCCTATTGGGCAATGGACCACAGGGCGCTAAGCCTACATTTTTTTTGTCTCCAAAATTAAAGTTATGAACCACTTGCCCTTCACTGAGATCCAATTCTCCCATCACAGCCGTCACTTTGACCAGTAGAAACACAGAACAATCTGCTGCCATAGACAACTGTATGACAACAACACCCTATCGTTTTTAATATTTCCTCTAGGGATATTACCACACAGAGTAAAAGGGGAAATGATAGTGTGAAACAGCAGAGGCACTTTATCAAACCGGTGAGTACTGTCATTAGCATCAAGCTAGCAAACAATGTTACATTCTCACGGTCGGACATAAAGTAATAACATTAACAAATAGTGGTGGTGCTTTTACTCACCACAACTGCAGAGGCTACCAGCTTCATGTGAAACAGACTACATTATAGACGGTCCGTTATTTATTAATCCCTCCGTATCTTTATATTTTTTACTTTTTATCCGCTCCCGTTGTCTTTATAAATTTAGCACATCGCGCCGTCATTTCAAACTCAACACTTGCTGAATTTCTTTCACATTAAAAGCCCCTTATAACCTTGGCTGAGAGAATCCCTCCATTTTCTAAATAGGTTTTTATTCTGAAACATGTGTAGGAACTTGGTTGTGGAGGATATAGTAGCTTGAATGTTTGCGTACGGTACTTCAAATGAAGCTCCTGCCATCTGCTGACGCTTTTAGGTGACTACAACAACATTTCGGCTGGCACATGAACAGACACAGTGACTGAAATAATAGTAAAAGTAATAAAAAAAAGGACAAGAGTAACCGGATGACATCACACACGTTGTGAAAGACGACCGGGGATAATTGGTGAGTACTATCGTATAGTGTGTCATGTCTGTCGGCCAAGTCACAGCACGATTTTATGACTCCACAATCGTGTAATGTGACATAGTGACTTTCAGAACAGGCAGAAAAGTCGTGTAGTGTGTACCAGGCATAATGCAAGTCCTGAGTCTGACCTGTCTATCAGCGAGTCCTCCTCCACCTTTTTTTAGACTCCACTGTAGACAATGGCAGCATTTCTTCTACCACGTAGGGAGCCATAAGCTTCATGGCTTCTTTCGGACTGATAGGTTTAATGTTATCTCTGTTATTAGAACCAAAAGACAGCCGTTGCTGTTTCGGAGCTGAAGGACCAGCGTTCTAAAAGTAATGGAAGTAACTGATGGCTTGTTTGAAAATGTACTCAAGTATTTGATTACTCAAACGCGTTAGGTTACTTGTTACTGCAAAAAGTAATCAAAGTACTCTAACACGTTACTTTGTACGCGTTATACCCAACTCTGGTCATATAAAAACTAAAGTAATGGTCAAAGTTGTCAAATGGAATATTTAAGGTGAGTTGAGTGATTGACGTCATCACCTCATGCATTGATAATTACAAGTTAAGGTTCCACCTTAAAAGTTGCTGGCAGTTGGCCCAGTGAATTAAGTTATTTTTTATTCAACTCCAGCTGCTGCAAGAGGCAGCATAACATTCTTTCATTTTATAGTTACAGTCAACTAATAAAACTCTCCACGGCATAAACAGTGGTTACAAAAGCCTCAAAACAAGCTACAACTCGGCCATCAGCAAGAGTGACCCTCCACTATTGACCAATCAACAGACTGCAGTGTTCACAGCTCCACCTTAAAGTACCAGATCTGTGTACTTGGTACCCCAACAAAAGGGGTACCAAAAATGGGAATTGTTCGGAACGGTTTCATTGGTACCATCCACAACTTTTTGCAGTGGAAACAGAAAAAAGGGTACTGAACTGAGCTGTACTGCACTGCTTGGTGGAAACGGGGCAGTTAACAGCTGCCTTTAATACCAGATGGAATTAATTCCTGGTCTGATTGAGCTGCTTGCCAACACCAACCTAACCAGGTAGCTCCTCGTATGGTTCTTGTTCTGGTCTGGTCCCAGAGGAAGGACTAATTGATTTACATAGCAAAGCAAGTGTATCCCTTCCCCTCTGCTTAATGAGTGCAAACAGCGAGTGTGATAGTCGACTCATTAACAGACTAATGGAAGTATACTTCAAAATGAGCACTTTGTCACTAACAGGTTAGCAGCATTGTAAGCAGTGGACAACGGCAGGGGGTATTGATATGCAGACAGGCAGTCTGCTTGCCCCCCTCCTCATTTAGGACTATATATCTCAATATGGATGACAAGGTATCTCCTTCTGGCTTGTGGCGCGACAAGCTGGCTCTTACTGCTGACATCCAGAGACAGAAACAAAAAGGCGGGTTAGCATTAAAGTTTTATGGCTTTTGTTTAAAAGATAAAAGAGAGAGTGCAGCAGTTCTGGTGAACTGAACTCCCTGTTCCAAAGTTGCTCTCTTATTTTAAAATATTTGTGTCCCATCAATCCTGTTTCTCATCACTCCAGGTTGTGTGACAGAGAAAGACCTTTCCCATGAATTAAGTTGTTGGTTTTTTAGATGGCGACATAAGGCTGTAGATGTGTGAGGCTGAGTGTGTTTTTGTCAGCCAACAGACAAGATCTGCCTCCAGACAGCCACCCCACCCCCCATCGGCAGATCAATAGCCCCTGTTTGGACTACCACTAAGAACTCCACAACTGCAGTGATTAGAAAACACATTAGTGTTGATCAATTAGAAGCCAAACTCCTCACTTAATAATTGATGGCCCTTTTGGCATTTTACACACACACACACACACACACACACACACACAGGCATACAAACTCATACACAGGCAGCAGACAGATAGCATGCCTGGCCAAGTGGCAAAGAGAGACAGTGGGTGATCCTCAGTCCCAAAGAAACGCAAGGCGCCACACTGCATTGACAGGGCCGCCTAGTCTGAATGCCTGATTAGGCTCTCCGGGGCCCCTTTGGTGCTTACACACACAGACACAGAGTCACACGCATTGGACTCCATTAGACAAAGACAGTGTAGTAGGTGAGATAGACTCCACTTAAGCAGCACTATCCATTTCCCCCAATTGAGCCACAGAGGTGTGTTTGAGCCAGACACCCTGACTGGGTCTTAAGCGGACACAGAGGAGCCACACACAAACACACACACACACACACACACACACACACACACACAGACACACACACACACGCGTGCATGCAGCTGCAATGGTTTCTACCTAAGTGCACTACAAAATAAAGTGTATTACATATCTTCAAAACGTATTGGGAATATAGATTATCAGGTGGCAGATTTATAAGCATTAATATAAGCACTATTTTCTTTGTTTTTACAGACATTAAAGACAGGCCTGACAATGGTGGGTAAAGTTGTTACCCAGTTGGCAGGCACACTACCAGCAGGCACTCCTGACGAGGAGGGCACACCTCACAGTGCGAGCCGCCGCAGCCCCCACAATCCCGGTGTGGTCACCATCATTGACACACACAGTGTTGGAGAAGGACAGGTCAGTTCTATTGTTCAGCGCTTCCTTGGTATTGTTAATTATTTAATAATGCTGGTTTTGTATCCTGTCATTGTCTTTGTAAAATTGTCATGGACACTCTTTATGGACATTACTGGGAACCTATTAGACTTTTCCTTATTTTGTGTCATAGATTTAAGTTTCAAATAATGAGGTAAAAAACCTCAGGCATCAGAACATTTTGAATACTCTGTTTCTAACATTTTTTCTACTTTCAAGACAAGGTGACGTCAGCTCATGACGTATTTCTTTATATAATCCAATCTGATGAGCTACAGTAAAATAGGGGTGCTGTTTGAAGAATTAGAGTGTTTTGATTGTGTATGAATTTACAAACAGCACATTAACTGCACATTAAATGCTCTTGGCGCTCTGTTGCTCCATTTCATCAGAGAACCCATAGTATGCCCTGCCTCTCTGAGAGTGCGATGAATAACTGAAAGATATATTCAGGATGTGCTCTGGCTCTCAGAGTGACTATTTACGAATGCATCCATCATCATCTGCTCCAGTCCCACTACTGCTTCAGCATTTAGACTACCGCTCAAAAAATTGGGATCACTTTGAAATGTTCTTGTTTTCCTTAGAAACACACATGAAATTAGTCTGAATAGGAAATATAGCAAATGAACAGGACAGGACATGCTGAGATTGTCAGAATTAGAAATAATGGTTGTGGAACTGACCACTGTTCCACAACCAGGACGAAATCTGCATTGCTCCTCCTGAATCTGAGGTTCGACAATCGGTTGGAGCCTCCTTTCCAGCACCCTGGAGTAAACTTTACCCGGGAGGCTGGGCAGTGTGATACCCCGATAGTTGGAGCACACCCTCCGATCCCCTTTTGTGAAGACGGGGATCACCACCCCAGTCTGCCACTCTGCAGGCACCGTACCCGACCTCCATGCGACACTGAAAAGGCGTGTCAGCCCAGACAGCCCAACAGTGCCCAGAGCCTTCAGCATCTCAGGGCGAATCTCATCCACACCCAGCGCCTTGCCACTGGGAAGCTTTTTAACTACCTCAGCAACCTCCGCCAGGGATATGGGCGAGAGTCTTCAGGCTCTGCCTCGTTCTCAGTGGACATGATGGCCAGGTTCAGGAGGTTCTCAAAGTGCTCCTTCCACCGCCCGACAATGTCCCCATTTCGGGTCAGCAGTTCTCCCTCTCTGCTGAGCACAGCCTGAGACAAGCCCTGCTTAACGGTCTGCCAGAACTTCCTTGAGGCCAACCGAAAGTCCTTCTCCATAGCCTCCCTGAACTCCTCCCACACCACAGCTGCAGCCCTTCTGGCCAACTGGTACCTGTCTGCTGCTTCAGGAGACCCCTGGGCCAGCCAGACCCGAAAGGCCTCCTTCTTCAGCCTGACGGCCTCCCTCACCGCTGATGTCCACCAGCGGGTTCTAAGGTTGCCGCCACGACAGGCACCAACAAGCTTCTGACCGCAGTTCCTAGCAGCCGCCTCCACAATGGAGGCTTTGAACATGACCCACTCAGACTCCACGTCCCCAACCTCTCCCGGCATGCACAAGAAATTCTCCTGGAGGTGAGAGTTGAAGACCCGATGGACAGGGTCCTCTGCCAGACGTTCCCAGTTCACCCTCACTACACGTTTGGGTTTACCAGGTCTGTCCGGCAGCCTCCCCTGCCATCTGATCCAACTCACCACCAGGTGTTGATCAGTTGACAGCTCTGCTCCTCTCTTCACCCGAGTGTCCAAGACACACGGCCGCAGATCTACTGATACGACCACAAAGTCGATCATTGATGTTAGGATCAAATGAGGGCAAAATTGTTTCTTTGTTTTTTCACCTTGGCAAATAAAATGTACCTGCATCTTTTGAGAAAAAAAAAATGCGCCTTTTGATGACGTTCTGGATTTTTATTGGGCGACATCAAATGAGACGATGCGTACATCACCAGTGGTGGGTTTGATTCGAGCCTGGCATGAACCGCTCGGACGGACTATAACGACAGTTTGACACCAATCTATCACCGGTCAACTCCTTACAGCTCGCATGCACACACACAGACACACAAACACAACAGAGTGAAGTCAGACAAGAGCAGAGAGGCCGCGGTGCATATGAAGGGAATATAACTTCAAGATCACTCTAGTTAACGACAACTACGCTTGTTAACTTAAGTAAGTACGATAAAACCTCTGCCAGCCAAGCCAATACTTTATCAATACATGTGGTCAGCATGTAGAAAGCAATATTTCAACCGACTCTGTCGTTGAAATAATTCACCACTATTATGATTTACGATTGCGGTTGACACAAGCACATCGCGCTCGCGAGGCTAGCAGCAAAGTGTTAAAGACAAACTAAAATGAAAGCTGTCACACTTTATCTGAAGATGTAGCTGAGACAGCCGACCTGCATAGTGATGTTTGTCTTCATGCTGAGATAATGTGACTTTGTTCACTCAGTATTGTGATGTCAGGAGGAATATTTATATTTCAGTGAGATATTATTGGGTTTTAAATAGTGACTTTGTTGTTGTAAACATGACTGTTGCTGCCATGGACTGTATAAAACAATATCCTGTGTAAATGACCCATAAGGAAAACATCAGGGGTGAGGTGTGTGCTGGTAGAGAGATAGTGCATGTGTAATTAGATACTGTTCATGTCACTTATTATGCTTCTGTGCATTGATAGCTCTTTTTTAGTCTGTTTCTGCATTATGTTGAGGAGGGCCACACCTGTACATATATATGCAAAAAAAAAAAGTGGCTCGGTTGCCTGCTGCTAAAAATGTGGCCCATCGACATTATCTGGTTTTGAAATGCGGCCCAGTTGAAATAGTAATTGAATAGCTCTCTGTAGTTTGTTTGTTAGCTATCTAACAACACATCAAAAATATCATGTACACTCCAAAAATATTTAGGCCTAATATTTAAGATTTTTTGCTTATAAATACATAAACCTGGTTGTTCTATATTTAAAACACATTGTTTTGGTTTTTTTAGTACTATTAAATAAATCACATTATTACTTATACTAATTATTATTACTTGAGCTTGTTTTATTTATTCATTTCACAGATAATTATACATCCTTAGTCCTTAAATTAAATTCATTATGGACATGGACTTAAAATCATTGTTTTATTTTATGGCCTTGCTGCCCTGGCTTTTGGCCTCCGTGCCCTCAAAAAATTGACAACACGAAAGGCCAAGTGGCCTTGCCCTTAAAATGATGAAATTCCAGGCCTGCAACCAACAGAAAATAAAATAAAAGGCAAGATATTCACATCACAAAACATTAAAATTTCACCACTTTTAAAAGGATTGCGCATTGAAATGTGGTGCTAAAGTTCACACTGAGCCAATAGAGCACCGTACCAAAAGGAAAGGCCACTTGTATTTTAAGTCACTTTGCTTGTCTTTTTTTTAAATTGGTTTGTGGTTATTGGCTGTCGGGCTAAAACTGACATCTCTAATACAGACATACATAAATTCTTAGAAATGGCTATATGGTCTTACTAATAGTGTATAGCTCGAGCCCTGTCTTACAATTGGTGCTCAGCACTACACAGCGCAGCGCAACTGTCATTGCTAGTTTCAGACTGACACAGTTGTCACTTTCTTGGCCAGCGCTCATGTTTTGTGAGTAGATTGCCCTTAGGCGTGTAGGTCTTAAAATGAGGTGTGGTCAGGCACATTGTTGCTTTAATGTTATTTTGTAACAGAAAGCAATTGTACCATTGATGAACAAAAACCTTGTCTAAAGTCAAATAGCATGTTATTTTTCTGCTATTCAAAGGGAGCATTATTCATTATTCAGGGCGCCTGTTTCAGTTCAAAATTTAGAGTGTACAATTGCTTAGAAGATTATGATTGAAATACATGATGGCCATCAGTTATCTCTCATAAGTTATTTTAATTTCCTGGTTGATACAATTTATTACACAGTTTTGGTGCTAACCTCTCCAGAATTGATAGACATGGTCAGAAATCTCTCTAAAATACCACATTAAGACACAGAGACATTCAGGAGCACCACAGAAAAACCCATGCTGTGATTTGGTTTTAAAAAACATTTGAAGATTTCTGGAACATTTAGATTTTTTGGTGACTGGATGGTGCGCATGTTTGTTCTGGGAACTGCTGAGAAACCCCCTTAATATACCCATGAAAGCCAAACATCCTCTTAATGCACAAGGTCTCTGGTTTGTGGTCATTAAGTTTCACGAAGCTGTAATTATTTTTGAGGTTACTATAGGTCATTTTATGTAAAATGGTCTACAATGAAGTGGCTACTATGGTGACTAACATCATCACACATGAATAAAACTGGGCTACTTAAATCCACAGGAGTCTCAGCTTTCCTGTCAGACCAAATATCTGCACTGTTTAGCAACCCCAGTCTGCAGAAATATTCAAATACAATCTAACACATTTATATTACATGCAAAAAACTGTATGTTTTTTGCTCAAAATTGAATGTGACGTTTTCCTTGATAAAATTTCACCTAACTGAGGAGCGCTATTTAACCCTGTTTTGGGCAAATTAGATTGACATGGTTGCTACTAGAGTTGAGACTCGTTAGAATTTTAACGATTCCGATTCCTTCTTAACGGTCCGATTCCTTACCGATTCCTCTTACCGATTCCTACATTATATTCATTATTCTTGCTATACTTAAACAAGTATATAATAAACACTACGGCTGTCAAAAGCACCATGAAATTGAGTTCGAATATTTTAATTTAGTAGAGTTCAAATAATATTCAAATTTATTATTATTATTATTATTATATTTTTTTTTTATTTAAAAAAAAAAAACAAACAAAAAACACAAATATAAATAAGATGCTTATTGCTGGTGCAATATGAATGTTACACTCGGATGAAAACACCCGTTCTGACCGCAATGTTTGGATACTTCAGTGCGCCTGTAGTTTTCCACCACAAGAGTGGATCCTGTTCGGCTCGTAGTGGTGTCTCATTCTGGTAACGTTTCATCTCTTCT